AGATTGTTCCTAAATTGCAGAGAGGTACTCTCGTACTTTTGAGAACTGAATTATACTAGTTTAGTGCAATAGTACGCTTAGGAACATCCGTTAGTATTAACTTGTATTATAATCAGGGATTGTGATTTACGTGTGATTCGACACACAATATAAGTCTGTAATGGTTTGCCGTGAATAAAAGAACGATTATCACACCTCTAACGATAATTGTTATATTTCATTTTAGATCTTAGTACAGCCCTGTTTTCTGTTAGTTTGCATTTCTTTATTTTTACAGCATGCAATTTTTGGTTAAGCGAATGTAACTGCTATATTTTTAAACACCCGTCATAATTTAAAATAATGGAGGATCTTTTGAAAATTTTTGTTCCAACAAATCATCGTCAAAAATATATTTAAATAAAGAAAATTATACATTTTTCTATTAATTTGCAACCATTAGTTAAATTAAGCAATTAAGCAGTAGTTAACCGATAATCGACAGCCACTTAATCGAAGATTGACAAATTGTTCAACAAACCATATGTTTTAATTTTACATGCTGTTAATTAATTTATGTAACAACACAACTACACAATTATTGTACGCACGAGTGGTAAACGATTCGCTGGTGATCATAAATCATTGGAACATAAAATTGCATTTACTTGCCAAATAGAAATATGCGGAATTTAAATACGAAAAGCAATCGTTCTACGAGTTAAAATGAGGAAACCACGAAATTGGAATCGAGAGGTAATGCACCAAAACAAGCACAATTGTTGACAGAAGCCTGAATTAGTTACCATAAGTATATCACTACAAAACTACATACCTACGTATGTACAGTCGCGTTTCAAACGATTGTGACTTGACAAAGTGTAAATACGTATATACGCTTTCCTAGAATAACTCAATATATTCATACAAAGTTTGTTTGTGTTAATGGACTGACATTACAGCGCTGCTGTACGAGTACAATTTTATGAAATTAATCCATTCAAACAGGTGCTTATAATTTGCGTGTAGTAGATGCATGGTAGCTTATGTCTAATTTATGCACATTTATGCATAAATTAGATTTTACAAGATATGTAGGGGACTGATTCTTTTAATTACGTTCTTATTCTCAAACTAACGCTCTCATATGTTTACATTGCACAAGATGTTTTGAAACTCAACCATGAGATAAATTTTGAAGTTGAGATTTTATGCAGTGAGAGTAACCTATATAAGAGGACCTTTTTAGAAATGTGTTATATAGACCCAGAGGTTGACTGCATTAACATAAGGTTAGTATTGATAGCCTCAGTGTCATTTTCGCATACTTTTATATTTACATGGCAGTATTAATTGTAAGAACAGTGACATTTAATATTTAAGGGTTGACACTGTAGGTAGTCAGTACCTGATTTTCTGAAAATGGTTATGTTGTGGCTTTCTGGTACCTTGGGGTTCTGTTCTCCCTCTAATTGTAACCTCAAGGGTCATGTGTCCCTTTAATATTAAAATTTACAGATATAGGTTACGAGTTAGTTTTTCTGAACCCACAGAATTGTACTTTCGTTAGTTTCAATACGGAAATTTTTCAAATTTAAAGCAGTTTTCAACAGTTTAATTTATTAATTATGTATTTTTTACTATAATACTTTTATAGATATTTCTATTCACATATAACTTTGTGGAATGATATTGCAGGAACGTATGAAATACCAAGTATAAACAGTGATGATGATTTGGAAGATGACGTTTCTCTGAGCAAAATCTCAGCTAAAATTTCTTTCGAATTTAGCACTCTCTTTAGATATAGAAAACACCGATGTTGCTTCAAATACCGCAGTAATCAACTGAACCCATGGAAGACCCTCTCAATCCGCTCTACCAGGTGAAGTCAGATTTGACAATATAGGGCATATTATATTATAGAGAGGTTAATAGTGCAAAAATAATACCATTTATTTGTGTAAAGTGCTTTTGCATCCTGCTTGCTTTGAAAATTTTATTATTAATTTTAATAACTGTTTTCAGCCAAAGGTGCGTATACGCACCTACGTGTTTTTTTTTCAAATTACTGTTTATGATTTTTTTCAATAGTAAATTAGTCTTAATGTATGTGTTTTGAATATACTTTAATAAAAAAAATCAATAAAAAATGTGTTTTTCTTGTTTTGGCCAGTAGTGGGTTAAACTATAAAAACAGGTTTTTCTGATTAAATAATAAAATTCCCTGCTTCAAAGTAATAAAAATTCAAATTAGTAGTCCCATGATTTATGGTGGTAACACATTCCTGAATCTTTTATTTAGGTAAATCAATGTTGCCAGTGTCAGTTGCGTTAAGTACTTCCATAAGAAATTATCTAATGGGGACAAGATGAGTGACCGTGCAAGCCAAGGTATTGGTCCGACCCACTTGTTAGGGAAGTTTCTAATTAGAATTGTGTAGGGCATCCGTTTTGTGCAAATATTAGGTTTCTTCTAAACAAACATGTTTCGTTTAATAATCTAATTCTGCCAAAACGAAAATTATTAAGAATCTCCAAATATGAGTGGATTAAAATTTTCTTCCAAAAAGTAAGGATCAATTATTTTATGATATTAGACTACACCATTTTCTTTTTTAAATATTTTTTTACTATTAATTCTCGATAGAAATTTGGGTACTCTTTAGCCCAGAACCCAGAATTTTTTGAGAAAACCACCCCATTAGTTGAGAATTCGCCAGTAAATAAAATATTTTGATGAAAGAATTTGTTTTAAATCATTTTCTCGTTGTTCCATGGTTAGTATTGTTAATAAAAATAATTCGATGAACTGTTAATAAAAATATGTATTTTGATTAGGTACTTTAACATTGATAAGGAAATATCAGTTTATATTTAATATCAGATTATATTTAAATAAATTTAACTTTATTTTTTCAACACAATCTTAAAAATTGTCGTTCTTTAAGAAAATCATACTTTACTAATTTACATCATTGTTCTTTCTTGACTAAACCTGGTGATAAAACATTTCTTGAGGTTCTAAACATTTAAAAAAAAGAACAAAATATAAAAGCAGGTTGCTTAAGAAAAATTTTATATTTTATAAGTTTTTTAAACACCCTGCAAAAATTCGTTGAGAATAAAAGAAAGGACCACGAAATTTCCTTATGGAAAATGGACTTCCGTTAAATTGGTTGGAATTTTGATATGTTATGTATATGTTATGTCCTTCTGATCAAATGTCTCAATGGGCAGAAACTCCTATGACTTCAGGATTTTAAGATATATCATATGACGCCATGAGATGTCATTACGCGTCATAAAACGTCAAAGTTCAAAGTATACTTTTCTTTCTGTTACTGGACGGCTCACATTGTTTTATAATCTAATAAGCAGCATTAACGGTCTCCTCCTGTCACGCATCGTGAAGTCATTGCAGGTAAGTTTTGGTCATCCAATGTCATATGACGTCATCTCATGTCGCACAAGGTAATAGTTCCTTTTGAGTAAATCAGGTTTTACTATAAGTTAATCTCTGAACATTTTGTATCGATTCGTAAGCAAGTAATTGAAAGATATTATCAAATGGCTGATGCGTAGCTGTGTCATATGACGTCATGACATGTCATTACGCGTCATAAAACGTCAAAGTACTTTTCTGTCTCTTATCGGACGCCTCTCATTGTTTTATTATCTAATAAGCAGCATTGACGGTCTCAGTCTGTCATCGTGACTTCATTGCATATAAGTTCTGGGCATCCAATGTTATATGACGTCATTTTAGTTTCATTGGAGAAAAGTAATTATTTTGATAAAATTACAGTTTTGTGTGAATTGAATATCTAATCATCACATATCATTTTGTAACCAATCGATTGAAATATATTATCATATTATATCTCATTAATTGTTTTCGTTATTGTTTATTATTATTCGTTATTGTTTCAGTATATTGTTTTCTTCAATATAAAATCTGTTTGTTGGTAACTATATTTTAGCTTTTATTTATTATTTTAACTAGAATAGTGGGTTTATGAAAGTATTGACGTGCCGCTAAGCATTAGCTTTACCTAGAGTTTACCGCGTGCAGGTTGCTTAGTCGGTCTTAAACTCCTCAGTCGTTGTCTTCGTGATCAGTCATTTAAAAATATTACTGTCTTTCAGTTAAATATTCGTATTACCTTGGTCTATGTATGTCTTCGAGCGTTTGTGTCTACCTGTTAATGCGTTTGCGTGTCTGCGTCAGTCTGTATCCTTTGCCTGTCATAAGTTTGTATAGTCAGGGCCGGTTTCACCAAGCCTTGCTAAATATTCATTAATCAGTTGTTAACTAATTATTCGTTAATATTTAACAGTTGATTAAATGTATGAGTGTTTCACCAACCATTTTTAATAAACCGTTAGTTAATCATTGATAATATTTGGCAACATTGAATAGTTCTAGTGTTTTCCACTTTATTTTGTTACCGATCTGTTATTTTTAAACTGTTTATCTAATGTTCTATTGCTCAGTTACGATATCGTTGATTTAACACAAAACATAACCTTAAATGTGATACTTGTAGTGCTATGTTTTAAACATAACAATATTTGGTATTGAAAATTTGTAGTTAATTAAGTAAGTTGATAAGTCATAATGGATTCAAAAAGGAAGCGAGAGAGATGTAGCAATTTCTCTACTTTCGAAAAAGAATTGTTTTTGAATATATTGGCTACACCCGAAGTTAAAAATATAATAGAGAATAAAAAGACAGACGGGGTGACAATTAGAAAAAAGGAAGAAATGTGGCAAAAGGTAACATGTATGTTTAACTGCAATGCTCAAGTGCAGAAACGAGACATGGGTCACTTAAAAAGGTAAATTTATATAATGTACAGGTACTAACATGGTTTGCATGTTTTATATTTCTTATGTAATTTGACAGAATTTGTACAGTTTTCAATATTTTTTAGATTATATGATAATATGAAAAGAACTTCTAAAAAAAAATATGCAACAGATAAAAAATCACGATTTCTAACTGGTGGTGGAGAATTCATAAAAACAATGGATGACATCGACGAAAAAGTATTATCCATTGTTCAACCACAAATGGAACCACTAAAAAATATTTACGATAGTGACAGCAAGTTTGAAGGTAATTTACGTAGTATTTTTTTAATAGTTGTACAATATCTCTTTGGCCAGTAACGTTTTACTCAAATAAATAGGTACATAATATGTATATATTATATGATAACATTATTACAGATAATGAGCCTTCAGTGCAAATAGAGAAACAAATAGAAAATCCTAGTTCATCAGGTGAGTTTAATATTCGGTTGTATAAAGCAACTAAATTTAAATATATTCATTAAATTTGAATAAATTACATCTTGTATATGGCAGAAATACTTATTGCATAATTGTGATCTGTTGGCATAATTAAAACAATTATGCTATTTTTGTAAAACGTAAACAAATGTAAGTTTTAAATATCTTCAACATAAGCTTTTTAGCTTGACTTAGTAATGAATATTGCTGTTTGTAGCTTTCGAGGATAATCTGGAGTATATATATATTGTGTCTGATGATGGCCATGAAAATTTTGCAAGCACTTCTGGTATGTTTAAAAGAATAAATAAATAATGTGTTTACTATTATATGGTGTTTTCAGCTCCAACCACTGCTGAAAAAGAGTTGCCATTCAAGGAGAACTTGGTAACTACTCCTAGTAAGCAAGATAAGGAAAACAATTTTAACATTGCAAGTATGGACTGTTCCATTTATAAAAAATAAAATTATTTTTATCTATTTACTCACACAAAAATGAGCTCAGTGTTTCATTATTGAATTAAGTGCTACAAGTCAAAAGATGCATAAAGAAAAATGAAAGTATCCGATTTATTGAAAATAAAACATTCATATGCTTTTTATTTTTAGATGGTCAACAATCCTGGGTAACAAGAAATACACCAACTATAAAAAACAAAAAGAAGACTGCTGTTGTGGAAGCAAGAGAAAATATCGCCTTATTGGCTTCTAATAAGTCAAGTTTAGTGGAAATGGAGAAGTCTTTGCTTCTAAGTAAACATGAAGAGGAGATGAAATTATTGAAACTAAAAATAGAAAATGAAGAAAAGCGGTCTCAAGTATTACAAGCAAAATTACTATATTACAAAAACAAATAATATTCAATAAATTTCTACATAACATATTGTGGTTGGTTTATTTTTTAATAATAATAATAATAATAATAATAATATAAATATTTGGGATTTAATCAAAACAGTAAACTGAATCATACTGCACTAAAAAGAGATATGCAGCAACATTACAAGAATAGGCTATGTTTACTCTTGAAATCACACCTTAAAGAATCTATTTAAGGACATTAATTCAATAGAAACATTAAACTTCAAAATTAATTGATGAATATTACACTCAATATAGTGATATATACAAAAATTACTAGTTTCACATCTCGGAGATAACTAAAAACAAGAGTACAGAATTAAAAACGAATCAAATTAATATTTTATTTCTTAAACTAGGTAAGTAAAATAAATATGTAGAAACTTATTAAACAACTACTCTAAAAATACATACTTAAACAATGCCATATAATTAAGTAAAATGATTATTTATTAATGCATTTCTTATTGCTGTACCAGGACTATTTGCATCTAATATTGGTGCAACTGGAACATTTTGATAAAGTAAGTAATTTGGTTCACTTAGTCTTCGTTCCTGCAAACTATTATGTAAATCGGCATCTTCTGGAGGGTCTTCATCTTTTGTTAGTCGAGCAATATTGTGTAACACTACTATAGCAACTATAATGGTTAACGATGTATTAATTTTTGTTCTTAGTCCTAATGATAAAGCAGGAAACCTTCTTTTTAAAATTCCAAAAGTCCTTTCTATGCAATTCCTTGTTGCTTTGTGGGAATTGTTATATCTTTGGTCAGCCTGTGTTTCAGGGTTTAACAGTGGAGTCATAAGAAATGGCCGCAGAGGGTAGCCATTGTCACCAAGCAAAATGAATCCTCTTGGTATTCCCTCATTTTCAAATAGGAGACTCAAATGACTATTGTTAAAAATTGTACTGTCATGTACTGATCCTGGCCATCGCACTACTATGTTTCGGATTAACAAATTGGCATCACATACTGCTTGTACATTTATTGAAAAGTAACCTTTTCTGTTTCTAAATATTTCACCCATATTACCTCCAGGTGATAGTATTGGTATGTGGGTACAATCCAAAGCTCCAATAACTCCAGGAAATCGTCCTAATTCAAAAAATTTTTTTGCGACAGTTCCCAATTCTTCATTTTGTGGAAACTCTATATAAGATTCTCGTAAGGAAGCTATTGCTTCTGAAACTTTTTTGACACAACGGCACACAGTTGCCTTTGAAATTCCATGTACATCACCCATAACTGTTTGGAACGATCCGGTAGCATAAAACCTCAGAGCTATCAACAATTGTTGGATAGGAGTCAATGGAAAGTTTCTATCTGTTGCATATTCTAATGCAGGCTCAATTTCTTCTAAAACTTTTATTACTACTTTTTTGGACAGGCGATATCTTTCTAGAAATTTTCCATCGTCCAGTTCTTCAAAAATATTTTTCCTTATGTTGCCATTAATTTGGACCTCGTTCTCTAATAATTCCAAATACAATAATTCGACGTCAAAATCTCCCATCTTAATAATAATTACATGTAACTAATAATTAAGTACTTTCAACAATTTTTAGGTTATTTTCTAATCGTTCATTAAAATATTAATCGCTGAAATTTCGTTCCTTAATTTAACGAAGCTTTAACAATTCCTTATATCTTAACGACTATTGGTGAAACTGTCATATTCTTAATGGTCCCTTTAACTGTATTTTAACGGATCATTAAACTTTAATGAAGATTGGTGAAACCGGCCCTAAATGATTTAATCATGAACAGAAAGAAAAGTACTTTGAACTTTGACGTTTTATGACGCGTAATGACATATCATGACGTCATATGACATATATATACCTATCGGGAGTATGATAATGAACTACAATTAATTGCTAACGAAGTTTGCGAGGTGTTTTCAAACCTCGCTGAACACCTACAACTTAAAAAATGGTACATATTTGACCCATATGAACACATCTCCAGTGCAGAATAGTTCCAACTTCAGCCAGCTGTATCTTAAAATTCTGAAGTGATAGGAGTTTCTGCCCATTGAGACATTTGATCAGAAGGACAAAATACATAAAATATCAAAATTCCAACCAATTTAACGGAAGTCCATTTTCCATAAGGAAATTGCGTGGTCCTATTTAAACGCATTCAATTGTGAAAAATGTTGTGAGAACATCTATATACTTATACAAACAATAGTTTCATAATTTTTCATTTCCAAGAAAAGGAGGGATATATCTCTCGAAACTCAAGAAGTCTAAACCTGCCAGATAAATCTTCAAACCAAATTTTACAAAAAAAATGTGCATAATCAGTTTGGATATTTTATATTTATAAAAGAATGGTTTCAATGCAGTCAGGTAAAAGGTTGTATAAAAAAGAAATTAAAAACAAACATATAAACATTTTAAACATACTGTACAAAAATTTATTATTGTTCCCATTGAAAAACAAAACAATTTTTGCGGAAACTAATCCCGATGAAGGATTTATTTCATTATTTTAATATGCGATAAGTACCAATTTTATGACAGTCTATCCAATATTTTTATTGAAAAATAAATAGTAGTTTCTTTCAAGTAAGTAAACTGTCTGTGACCTTTGAACGCTGAAGATGATGTAAATCCTTGAAAACGCCGAAAACACTCCGCAAGCTACATAGTTGATTTCTAAGGAGCGTACGAAACTATTAACACAGGAAAGCTTTCGCAGCCATGAAGGAGCTAAAAATTTCCAAGCTACCTTTTAAGTTTTACGTGAAGTAGAATGCAGAGATTGCAGAGCACCCACGCAAAGCAACTTAACCCGGATAAAAACGACTGCTGTAGAAAAGAACAGTGTAAATTTACTTTTTATTTTGATATAGATTTCCAAGTAAAAAAAATTTTAGTTATATAGATACTTTTATAAAGGGTGCCAAGGAAATTCTCTACTAACTTTAATGGTGAATATGTGACTGAAAACCCTTCCTTTTCCAGATATAGGGAAAAATTAAGAAGTGTCACATTTGTCTAAAAGATTTAACGTAGATTTATGAAATTTGAGCCGATGATTTAACGATTTATTACAATTTTTATGCCACTGATTTAGTTCTGTTGCTTCTGAGTAGACATCCAACAATAAAACTTGGCTGGTAATTCTAGTCGGTAATAGGTGGGAGCTCTAGCAGTTCCAAAGTGTGGCTAACAGTGTTGTCAAGTGATAACTGAGCATACATATAAATTTATTGCATTTATCTATGTAATTGAAGGGTTATATGTAACTTATATGTTCTAAAAAGGTACACAAATCGCGTGACAACATTGCTACATGTATTATGCGCTCTTAGGATAAGAGTAAACATCGTCTAGGAATGCCAGTCGTTGCATTTGAATCTTTCTAAAATTCTGCTGGTGGTGTACTCTATAGGTAATTCGGAAATTTAAAACTGCTGTACTATTCCAGGCGTGGTCTGGTGCGTTAGCTATTTTGTCTGTGGTAAAGAAGTACAAAGTTCACAAAAAAATCCTATAAAAATTTTTAATTTATTAGAAGATGCCACCTAAAATATTTAAAATTACCACTTCAAGCATTTTGTACTTTTGATGGTTACAGTGTATTTAATATTGTATTGCTAACAAAAAAAAATTGTATTTTTTCCACTTGAAGTTTTGTAATTATTTGCAACTTATTCAACTATATCCCAGCTACCTATATTTTAAATTTAAAAAAATATAACTGAAAAATGGTTTTCTTTTGAATAAGTTAGACTATACCTTTTTCTTAAAAATACCAACCTAAATTAACTGTACTTATCCAGTTTTCAAAATTCAGTGAGAAGGAAATTGCAGTTTTGTTAAAGAGAGTGTTTCTTAACGTATCTGCCATATGTTGACATACTCAGCTAATTTTAATTCATAATTTGTTAAATCATTAGACAAGTTTCATCAAACTGCGTCCGATGTCTTAAGAGATATTTAATATGATATTTTTCCAAATTTCAACACCTACGAATTTTCGGAATCATAGTTATAAGAACAGTTTTTTTAATTCGTGATTTTGTTAAACCACCGTTAAGGTTTTCCATATTTCAATGTGGTGTGTTTGCAAACAAGTAGATGTTTTCTAACTTGTAAACAAAATACGACAACTTGTAAAAATATGTTGGAAACTGCTGATTGGATTATAACTAAAACGTTAACAGTTTTGGCGCCGCTAAAGCTAACATGCATAACTGGAAACTGTCAGAAGCTGTATGTCATAACACATGTTCAGAGGTTCTGAATAAGTTTTTGCAGTTACTTTTGTTAATTGTGTTTTTCATTGTATTATTGAAAACGATTATTATTGGGTACTTACCTCTTATCATTTAAAGAATTTCTTCAATCTTTCTTCTAAAAAACGATCTTCAAATATCAATCTAAAGTAATAGAGAATAGAATAGAGAATAGAACAGAGACTAGAATAGAGAATATAATAGAGAATACAATATAACTAATACTATATAAATAATAAATAATAATATATAACTAACTAATATAACTAATAGAGAATAGAATAAAATAGAATAGAGAATTACCTAAAATAACTTTGTTAGTCTGAACAAAATGTTCCTCAGAATTAATGAGATAGAAAGTTGTTGTGCTTTGACCAAACATAGCTTAGTTCAAAAGTTGATATTAAAT